TTATTCCATTCTGCATATCATTCCACGATGCTCTAAAAAGATGAATTGGAGTGTCGTTCGCTGGAGAATGACGAACAGATATCCCTCTATTTAATTTCAATAATTACGTCTGGAAACTTACCTACGCTATCTTTCTGCAGACAGAGCTCTTTCAGTTATAAAACTCCTAAGTTTAGCTCAGTGGTAAAAGATCGCACAATTTTAAGGATGAGCTATTCGGTAAAGATAAGCCTATGCTTATCTTTACTAATTAAAAGCGAAACGTCTTATCGGCGCGGTTTAGATTTTCCTACTTGGAGATTCAGTATTGAGAGATTAATTCAAATATGTCGTGAAATGCTAAAATCGATTGAAAGAATTCGTTGAACTCTCTGCACACACACACACACACACACACACACACACACAAAAAAAACACAAAAAAAAACAAAAAAAAAAAACAAAAAAAAAACATTTAGAATAGACTAGCATCTAGGTCCCATTCTTTTACCGTTGAAATAGTCAAATGTAACCGCTACTTCTACTCCGACAGCCTCTTTTCTCGAACTTTCCGCCTGTGGAATTCCCTTCTGTTTACTTACTACCCTGATAACTACAATCTTCAAAAATTTAAATGCAACGTTAATCGCCATATTCTGATGTCTTCAACCTCGTTCGTCTTTTATATTTTATTAACTCCCGCTATACACGGCTTTTTCTCTCACCTTCACTCTATGTAACCCCCCTGAGAACCAGAGGCATTTCCGCCTTGCTTGGGGTGAAATTCTTAAAAAAAATAAACAAAAAAACCCAAAAAAACAAAATAAAGTTTACCATAATTCACCAAATATAATTTATTTTAGCAAAGACGAAGGATGGTTTGAAATATGGCCAACAAATTTTCTGCGACTATTAACGGAATCTGAAAATAATGTTTTAGAATATAGTTTTTAACGAGGTGTTCGACCAACGATGTGCTTACGGCCACATCACGTTGAAACACCGGTTCCTGTACGATCGCCGAAGTTAAGCAACGTCGAACCTGGTCAGTATCTAGATGGTTGACCGCTTGAGAATAGCAGGTGTTGTAAATTATGGATGTGCTGGTGGTGTAATTCCTCGGTTGGTAATCACAGAACCGAGTTCTAATTCTACTTGGTTTCTTTATATTAACTTAAGCACAAATACCATTGAGAAAGGCATGAATCCACACCTTCCACCAGCTATGGTTTAATTAGTAAGACTTGTATCACTAAATCATTATTATTATCTCAAAAAAATTCTTACAATCTAAATATTTTTTTGACTTTAAATAACTAGTAAAAGGTTGATAAACCGTAGATAACAAATCAGTCAAATCAAATCTAGAATGTATTTGCAATGCTAAACTAAATACTATTTTGTGGTTATCTAAACTTATAGACATAAAATAGGATTCAGGTTAACTAAATGTTCATCTCATACAGTGGAATAAGGGCTAGGTTTGGGAAATCAGAGAGCTGGGTTCGAATTCAGGTCGAGTTTGTTACATTCATTTACGTGCAAATATACTTGGGAAAGATATGAACCCATCTCTGTTCCCCCAGCCATGGATAAATAGCAAGACAGACTGGGTCCTATAGCGTTTGGTAGCGAAAGGAGAAGGCTAATTCTGAATTCAAAACCTTCAACTATAAGATTAAATATCCTCACCAACACGCAGTTGGCCAAGTGTGGCGAGTAGGACTACATCCCAGAAAGCATGGTTAATCCGGGTGGATGGCTACACCCCTGAAGATATGGTCAATCAGGGTGGATGGCTACACTCCTGAAGATATGGTGCATCAGTGTGGATGGCTACACCCCTGAAGACATGGTCAGTCCGGCTGGATGGCTACACCCCTGAAGACATGGACCATCAGGATGGATGGCTATACACACTTGAAGACATGGACCATCAGGGTGGATGGTTACAACCTTGAAGACATGGTGCATCAGGGTGGATGGCTACACCCTTGGAGACATGGTCCATCAGGGTGGATAGCTACACCCTTGAATACATGGTCCATCAGGATGGATGGCTACACACTTGAAGACATGGTCTATCAGGGTGGATGGCTACACCCCTGAAGACATGGTCAATCCTGCTGGATGGCTACACCCCTGAAGAGATGGTCAGTCCGGCTGGATGGCTACACCCCTGAAGACATGGTCCATCAGGATGGATGGCTACACCCTTGACGACATGTTTGCGACGACTTGTTATCCCAACGATCGAACGGCTCAGTCTACTCAATTTCATCCACAAGTCTTGGATTAACATGTGGTATGATTTTCAGACATTCACCAGATTGATATTACCAAGATGTCCCTGACAAATCGACCATGCTGGGATTCGAAACCGGGGACCATGGTCAGAAAGAAAACGTTCTAAGCACCCAGCCACGCCCGTAGAAGTAGATATCTAGCTTAATAACCAGAAAGCGAAATTATAACCTTTGTCCATGAACAGAACTTCAAAAGTCACGTATTTAAATTATAG